CACACACACCCATACATACATATACATATATATACATACACGATACATCAGCTTTTACTTCAGCTGCTTGAAACACTTGCGTTTCTTGAAAGTCTTAGGTCTCTTCGGAATTTAAGCTGCACTCCTCTGACCATCTATAAATAAACAAAATGCATCATTTCTAAAATGGTTACCCTAAAAGACACATCATTTCAAGCATTCTAAAATATCATTAACTTTTAAACTTCTATATTAATAAAATGTTAAACGTTTCAAACCTCTAACTTTATGCACAATTGTAGACCTACACATAATTATTGCTTTACAGTAGTTTGACATTTAAATTTTACTTTATTGTTCATTCAACTACACTTACGGTAACAATGAACCGCTGTTTCCCAGTGGCGTCTGTAGGATATATTTTCTGGGGGGGAAAATTGTCCGACAGGGGGAACTTGAGCTCGTAGGCTTGAGCTGGGAAAAGGGGTTGAGAGGGGGTTCCCCTTTCCAAATGAGATTTTTTTTAAAGAATATCAACCTCTAGATGGCCAAAAATGGCACTCTAAGACTGTGACAGACATGTGTTGGCTTGGTGTGGGCCTATTTTTATATGTTTTATGGTCCGACTGCCCGGCGAGCTCTGTCCGGCAGGGGGGGGGACTTGACCTGTCCGGTGGGGGTCTTAAGCCCCCCTGCCACCCCGCTGGCGCCGCCACTGCTGTTTCCTATTAATGATATTGCCTTGTTTTATTCAAAATGTTTTAATTATTGCTGTTCTCAAAGATGATTGAATAAGGACTAGGATCAGTGAATTTGATGTGTACACATTACAAGCCCAGACTGTAATGGACCTCAAATTTGACATTAGTGGGATGTAATAGGTGTACTGTCAAATGCCACACCTCTACACAAATGTGTATAGCTGTCTTATGTTATACATAAGAAACCACTAATGAATAATTTGTACCTCAGATATACGTCAGTCAGTTTGCTGTTGTCACTATCAAACTATTAAAAAAAAAAAAAATTGACACAGCTATAATACTATAAATGCATTTTTAAAATTGCAACTACTGTACATAGTACTCAAAATGCAAATGACTGCTGTCATTTGATATCCTATGAGTATAATTACACATAGTGTGGCTCAATTTTTGGGACCAGTAGTGACCGAATGGGCTACCTATGGTAGTGCACTATTACAATTTCAAATTTCGAACCTGTGGTGGCTGAGGGGGCTATTTATGACAGTGCGCCAGTAATATTTTTGTGACATGCTAACAATGACCTAAGAATTTAAGGTGTAAAAAAGAAACATTAAAAAACAAATACAGGTATTTGCACAAAATGCCATGTTATATCAACCAGTACATCGGTTGTGGGATCAGTGGCCGCAACAGGTCTTAACCATGAGGTATGGTACATTATAGTAAAATATACTTTTGTTATTTATTTAGGCACAAAGGCCATGGATTGCCAATTAGTAAAAAAAAAAATTGTTGATAAGTTGGACAACTGATTTTAAAAACTGGGGGGAAAAAGGTGTAAAAAAAAGGCGGTTACAGTATGCCCCTTTTTCTCCCAGTAAAATATTCAAAAATCTGTATTTCATTCACCGTTCCCCAGTTTTACGCCAAACAACTTTTTTCTGTCTTAGAAAAATCACTTCTACAACAATTTCTTTTTCCTCCGAAGCTCGACTTTAAAAGACAAACATAAACACAAGGTGCTTGTGATGGGGCTAAGGAAGTGGATGGTAATGAGAAAAAAATTTTGCTCTGGACCATTTATATTTTGGCACAGGGATTTGGATGTGAAACGTTCAGGGAATTAAACATTTTTCAACTAGAGCATTAATCATTTTTCATTCAAAATTACCCTGTACATGAGAACATGATTATCTATTTTTAACATAGGTGGAATTGGCAAAATAGCAGCCTTTGATACAGCAAAATAGCAGTCTTTGATACAAACTTTTGAATATATTATTTATTATAATGTATTTGATGCATTAATGATAGGACATATTATAAAGTTAACTAATTAACACATTAGTGAAAATTTAGATGAAATCAACATTGGTCCAATGCAATTGATTCCTTCTTGAAATGGATCAAGAGAACTACAAAGTTCGCCCTAGAAATGAGTTGAGACTACAAGAGAGTCAAAAAGCAGTTACGTCTGAAAATATTAGAGCAAAGCCCCATGGACCCCTGACAGGCAAGGTTGATAACCTCCCCACTTCTCCCCCCACACCACAACACTCATGTTAAAAAAGTTGTCTAAACTCTTGGACTGCTGTACATTCAAATGCTAGTCACTTCGGCCCAAAACCAAATCGGCCTAAAGCAATTCGGCCCAAACCAACTCGGACCAAAACAAACTCGGCCCAGACATTACTTAGCCCCAAAACCAACTCTGCCCCAAACCAACTCGGAACAAAACCAACTTGGCCCAAGAAACAAATCTAGCCCTAAATAAATAAATAGTTCAGCTATCCGAGGGTAGAATTCTATTGAGTTGAAAATTTACAATTGTATTCGAATAATGCCAAACATAACATTAAAAATCTGTAAAAAACCATTATAACATATATTATAAACTGTGTATGTATACGCCAGTTTGAATTAAATGTACAGTAGCTGAATAAGTCTTTATTATTTGTGTATTTTGTTTCGCTTTATATTCATACAAATATATGTACATTATTTTATAAAGGTATTATAAGATCCTTCTAAAAGGGAGTTATGCGCATGCCCGTGAAGCAAGTGGACGTGCTCTAAACGAGTTCTTAAATTCTGCTCAAAGGTGATGAACCATAGTGTAAATTGAGCTACTC